CAGTTCTCTAAAGGTTGAGACATTATGTAGGCGAACTATGGGAGAAAATGAAGAAGAGAGTTTTGTGAGTGAAAACCATTTTCGGGCACTATAAGACGATGATTGGTTGAGTGACAAAGATTATAATGTCTTATTGGTGAAAAATCATGAAAGGCACTACTGATCAAATGATGACATTTTGTCTTGACATGAGCGCAGTCATGATAAAAGTCAAGGTTAGACTTAAAGGTGCAACATTGTTTACTGAGATTCAGAAAACTCGCAAAAGATCAAACGTTTAATCCAAATGCATGTCATGTTTTAAAGTTGTCACGTACTTTCAGATAAGATTCTTTTCACTCATTTAAACATTTTCTTTTTATCTACTACTTCTAAAGACATAATTTTTCCTTCATAACCCTTTCATTGAGTTTTTTTTTCTTTCTCAGCATCAACTCGTGTCAAGTGAGAAAATAAAATTAAATTCTCCAAATTCACTACGGTACTTCCAGCTGAATGTTGGGGACATGCACCAAATTGGCTAGGGTTGTGAACCTATCGAGAAAATAAATATCATAAATCGATACCGTGTGAAAATAGATAAAGCAAAAGAGTTGCTTGGGAACGAATGAACCACACAACATGCACAAAATGGTAATAAGTTCTTATGTCCATGAAAAGTATTTCAAGGAAAGATATCGACTTTTTAAAACATCTTCAAGATATTCGCACAATCATCAATGGTATGAATCTCCCAAGCGGAGCGGATCCAGAAGTCAAGCTTCACAAGATACTCGAAGTCATGAATCAACCAACCATTTAGAAAAATTAACAATACATTTATATGACTTGAAACAGGTATAAAGCAGAATCATGTAAATAGTTTGCGAGAGACAAACGCCACGATGTTAAGTTCTTGATTTCATTCAATATGCATGATAAAATAATAATAACAATAAAAATATTTTTTTAATAGAATTTGGGGCGTTTTATTTTATTTTTAGTTTGTTCAATGTACAAATAAAAATAAAATAAAATAATGATGAATAATATTAATAATGATAATAACAATATAACTGAAAAGAAGAAATACATACATACATACATACATACATACATACATAAGGCACAATAACTCCTTATTTATGTCTTCACAGGACATAATAACCCCTGATTGAATATAGGGCACAATAACCCCTATCCTATTTTTCATATCTTCACAAGACACAATAACCCCTATCCTATTTTTCATGTCTTTACAGAGCATAATAACTCCTGATTGGATATAGGCACAATAACCCCTATCCTATGTTTTCATGTCTTCACAGGGCACAACAATTCCTGGTTGCATATAGGGCACACTAACCATTATCCTATTTTTCATGTTTTCACAGTGCCCCTGGTTGCATATATGACACAATAACCCCTATCATATATTTTCATGTCTTCACAGGGCACAATAACCCCTATTTTATTTTTCATGTCTTCACAGGGGGACAATAACCCCTGGATTGCATATAGGCCACAATAACCCCTATCATTTTTTAAATGTCTTCACAGGGTACAATAACCTTTGGTTGCACATAGGGCACAATATTCCCTATCATTTTTTATGTCTTCACAGGGCACAATACCCCCTGGTTGCATATAGGGCACAGTAACCCCTATTTTATTTTTCATATCTTTAGAGGGCACAATAACCCCAGGATTGCATATAGGGCACAATAACCCCTATTTTATTTTTCATGTCTTCAGATGGCACAATAACCCCTGGATTACATATAGAGCACAATAACCTCTATTTTATTTTTCATGTCTTTACAGGACACAATATTCCTTGGTTGCATATAGGGCACAATAACCCCTATTTATTTTTCATGTCTTCACATGACACAATAACCCTGGTTGCAATTTGGGTACAAAACTCCCTTTTTGTCTTATTTTTACATTTTGTAATGGCTACAAAAATATTATTTTTATTATAAGTATAGACTTTTATAGCTTTCATCAATAACTCACAAAATTTCCTAGTGCAAACTAGGCAGAAAATTTTGTTTCGTGTGCAGGTTTCTATATAGTACACAAATTTGTATTTCAAAAATAAAAGAATTCATCCTTTCAAGAAAATAAGTTTTCGAGAGTATCATGCGGAAGAACATCAGTAGCTGAAGTCAAGTCATAAAGTTTTAAGTCTTGAACTCAGATGAATCAATAAACCTACCAAAGAGGGTGAAGCGATATTCGAAAATTTAAAATGAAGACTTAGCACTATCGGAGTAGATAGGACTTCATATCTTTCCTTCTGCATTTTGTTTTTCTTTATGTAATAGTTGGAGCTACGAACCGAAATTTCAAAAAAACTTCACTCGACTACCTAACTCATTGGAACTACGCCTGACTCCTTATCATTAACTTAGGATAGGTAGTTTTTCAAAAGTTAGGACACAGTCAAACCTCTTCTCCATTATAAAATTTTCACATTTTTGGCATAAATATTTCAGTAAAAATTAGTCACATTGTTCACGTCATTGCATGAAAACTCTTCGTGTTTCCAAGCAAAGAGGGGCATACTGTGAACCCTAATTTTTTATCAAAATATAAAGATTTAACACCAATTTTTAAAAAAGTTATATTTAAAATAAATAAAAATAAATAAATTGTAAATTATATTAATAATAAAAAATTGTGAATTTATGGTATTTGTTTTAAATCTTCAACTTTTAATTAGTTTAAAAAATAATGGTAGTATATATTAAGAAAAAGAAGAAAAAAAAGAATCATAGATATTCAAATTACCTTCTCCTTATCTTAATTAACCTCAAACTCCCAAAAACTAATTTTCCTATTATTGTTATTTAGTAGGTTAATTATTTAATTATTTCTCAACCATTATTCCCTCAACAATATTTCACATTAAATTCTAATTCCACTCTATCATGTTCCTTTTAATTAGCGCCAGACTCTCTGCAAAAATAATTATAAAAGATACGTTCAGTTGAATAGAAAAAAAAGAACGGAGATTAAAAGACGAGAGAAAAAAAGCAAGAGAAAAAATCAAGGAGAAGAAAAGTGAGTTATTCTTTTGAAATTTAGGTTAGAGTTAGAATTTTGTTCCTGGTTCCAATTCGTGGCTCATTAAGGTTAATGCTTGTTTATTAATTTTGGAAATCAGTAGATCGTAGCAGTTATTTTATAGGTGAATCAATAATACGAGGTAACCCTAAATTCTTTTATGATTTTAATGAAATGCTTGCAAGAAAGTTCAATTCTAATTATATGAAATTCTTTTAATAGTGTGTTATTATTATTACTATTATAAATATCATTTTTGTGATCGATGTTATGGGTTATTTTTAGGATTCGCAAAAGCTTAAGAAAACTTTGCCAGAGAATCTTATTGTTAAGAATAAATAAATAATTTAAATATGCATCATGTATTATTATTATTATTATTATTATTATTATTATTATTATGCTTTTTAGATACACTTTGTAACTTATATGTTTTCATGATATTGAATTGATAAATATGAATAGATTCGTATATCTTTCCGTTTAGTTTTTCACTTTAGAAGATTTTGTTGAATTTATTGCTGACTTGTTAGATTAGGATATAAAAATAATTAGTTAAATGATTTTTTTTTAAAAAAAAACAATATCTAAGTAGAATTGTAAATTTCATTTAGAGATTCATGATAAAATAGTGATAATTAGTATTAATAATTATAATAAAAAAAAGTAAAATTTGAGAAATTATATAAAGAGAACAAAAGAATAAAAAAAAAAAACAAGAAAGCATAAAAAACGAAAGAAAAAATAGCAGAATTTTTTTTAAAAAAAACCGAAATAGCAAATAAAAAAAATAAAAAAGAGTGAAAAAAACGTGAAAAAGTGAAGAGAAACAGAATGTTGTTAAAAAATATAAAAAAAATAAAAAGAGTAACTAAAAACGTGCAAAAGGAAAAAATTAAAAAAAAATAAAAGAAAAGAAAAATCTTTTTTTAAAAAAAGAAATTGTCTTAATCTCTTTAGATTTTTTTTGCTAGAATTAATTATAAATTTCATAAAATTTACCTCCTATTTTAGATCTATTTTTTTTTTAAAAAAATACAATTTTAAATTAACTTGAACTCTAAAAAAAATTTCATACACAAATTCTAATTCCTAACTATTAAACACCTATATAAATTCTACACATAATAAGATTAATATATATATATATATACAAAAATAATAAATAAGTAATAATAATAATAATAAAATAAATAATAAATAAATATGAGTGTTTCAAATTTTGAATGGACACAAATCGAAAATAATAAAATAATTTTCAATAGATTTAAAATAAATAAGATGATTTTTAAAAGGTTTAAAATAAATGAGAGAATAAAGTAAACATATTTTTATTATTAAGTTAAATAATATAATATTCAAAATTAGGTCTAGTCATATCAAAGTCAATGAAGCGACCGTGCTAGAACCACGAGACTCGAGGGGTGCCTAACACCTTCTCCTCGGTCAACAGAATTCCTTACCCGGATTTCTAGTTCGCAAACCAATAAAAATAGAGTCAAATTTCCTGTTGATTAGAGATTTAAATAAGGTGACTTGGAACACCAAAACTCAATTTCAAGTGGCGACTCTAAATAATAATTATCACTTTTCAAAACGTCACTTTAATTGGAGAAACTCTTTTTCTTTCGAGCAATAAAAATAAAAAAATATTGAGAAAAAAAGGAATATGACAAGTCTAGAGGACGATTGATTCCAAGGGTTCTAGATTTCATCGGAGGAATGAAAATCCTACCAAACACTTACCTAAAAAAGAAATAAAAAGTAATAATAAAATAAAAAACAAAACAACCAATATTGCCGGTGCATCACTTTTAACAACGAGATTCTACAGATTGGGAGTTCTCTTCCCAATCTGTCCTATAGTTCGATCACAATTCAGGTCTATCATTAGTGGAATTTATTGTGGAATTGTGAAAAAAAATTGTGGAATTTAATACAATATACCATATCAAGTAAAATACTTCTCTATGTGATTTTTTGGGACATAAACTAAGTAATGTCGCAAAATCTCAAAACTAGATAAAGATTTATAACGGAAAGAAATATTAAAGGCTATATAGAAAAAGCAAAATAAAATTAAAGGCTGCACCTTTATATTTTATTTTAGACCTTCTTCATGGACGTACTTGTCTCGAGACTATTAACATTTATTCTTACAAAGAATCTCTATTAAACAAAAATCTAAACCTCCAAGAAGAAGAATATAATAACATCAAATTCCTTTTGTTGGCCCACAATAATTTTGTCTAAAATGTATGTAATTAAAAATCCCAAATGGACTCATGATGGTGTGGGGTTTCATCCTCAAAATAATCGGTGGGACAAGTGTATTCTCTGACAGGTAATAGAGCCCCGGCTAACTCCATCCACATTTTGGGTGAGTCCAAAGGGGATTCATTAATCGCCTGAATTTGACTAGGTGAGAGACCTACTCTCACCTGGCCTACACCACATTCCTCAGGATGATCATCAATTGACGGTTTGAACCTCATTGCCGCTTCATGAGCTGCCATTTGTACGTCTTCAGGTCTTGAACTTGAGGGTTTTGGGAATGTATGGATTAATTCAGGGAAATTGAGCCTTAAGTTCGGTCTCTCACCTTTTAGATGAAATGCAGCAACATCATAAGCAGCAGCAGCCATTTCTGCTTTCTGATAACTCCCCAACCATATTCGGGTTTTCTTTCCTGGTTCGCGTATCTCAGACACCCATTTCCCCCATTTTCTCTTCCTTACTCCTCTATACACGTCCATATTATTCTTACTTTCTTGATCGTTTTCCATTTTAAATTTATCATTAAAGAAATAATATGGAAGTGAAGTTTGAGGGAAGTAGAATATATATAGTCGAATTATTGATGAGTAAGTAGGAATGGGTACTTAAAAGTGAGGTTCCACGTAGTTGCATGAAAGTGGATTAAAGTTGTATGACAGAATGAAGCAAAAAACGCTCCTTTTAAATTTTCCATGCATCTCCGTGTGTTTGATTTGGACGCCTATGATTGACCTATATATATATATATATATATATATATATATATATATATATTACTTTTCGATTGTCAAATAGTTTAGGATTAATAGAAAATTTACTCATAAAATTTTTAATTTTAAAAATGAAATTTATAATATTTATAAACTATATTAAAAGTACAATAAGTCTCAATAATTGAGAGTTCAAAATATTTAAAAAGATATAGGAAAAATTTACAATCAAAAATAGACTTTTTTGAATCTTGAAATATGAAACATGTCACATAAATTGGGACATAGAGAGAAATATATTCTCTCTGTTTCAAAAAGAATGTCTCAGTTTAATTTTTAATCTACCTAAAAAAGAATTATAGCTTTCCTTTTTTGGCAACACTTAAAATTTAATTTTTTTCACTTGAAATGTTTAAGGTCACAACATTAAATGATATTTTGATACATTTAATATAACTTTAATTTAGAATAATAAATTTAAAAAAAAAAATTCAAAAAAATTATGTTCCAAGTAAAACTAGTTAATTTTTTTTTACACATGAAATATATATATATGATAGTGACGTGTTAATATACTTGTGTGTGTTTTTTCTTTAGCCATTTTTTAATTTGAATAATGTGATATATGGACCTCGTGGTCCACGTACATATAAAGTATTAACTAATAATATAATCAAAATGTATTAAGTACCATACACAAACTTTAAATTAGATTAATAAGGTCTTGGGTAGCTCAATTTCAAAAGGTCAAAGTAGATTTTGGTGTTGACAAAAAATTTCGCAAAGATAGACAAATTTTGCATGATCAGGTGGTGAAATGTGGGTTTTCAGAGAACTTAATTAATGTGAACAACTTATATTTTTCTTTCTTACCTAGATACAAGATGTCATGCTCAATATGCGTTATTTTCTTAATTTTAAAATAAGTAATTGATATGTGTATTAAGTAAGAAAGAATATTTAGAACATTTGGTAAACATCACTTTTTGCTTTTACCCGTTTATTTATTCTTAAAATATTCTTAAAACTATAAATAATTCAAAGTAAAATCATAAATAAAAACAATTAACTCTCTTGAAATTCTATCCTAAAAGAAAATATGGAGTCAATTCCCTAAATAATCACCTAAGCTGAGGGAATTGTCGTGAAATATCATTTATGTTTCATTTAGGACTAAAATATCATCCAACTATCACTATTTTCCTTTAAATATACTTGACATTTCAAAAATATCACTCTCTCCTAGTTGACATGGCATGTCATTAATTTTTTTTAATAATAGACTAATTTAATTCATTTAACTAAAATAATGATCATATCATTTTAAATTTATTTATTAATTTATTAAGAATAAATTTTCATACTTAAAATCTTTTTATCATAATTAAATTTTTTACTATTTTATATTATGCAGAATACGTTTTTAAAACAATAATCTCATCAATTTGACTTACATTAAAAATATTGATTTACAAATTACTCATGCACGTTAATTTAATTTAATTAATCATAAATTGTATAATGAATCAATAATATTAAAGGTTGATTAATTATTAAAAAAAAAAATTTGTGCTTTGAAATCCATATATGATTACAATATCGTTTTTAAAAAGAAAATAGTAAGTGAATAATATTATATTTTTTATCCCTTAAGAAATACTAAATATCTCAAAAGTCTTCTTAAATTTTAGTTGATACGCACGGTCATTAAATCATCATTTTGAAAAATAATACTTATGAACACATACGTTCACTTACTATTTTCTTTTTAAAAACAATATTATAAGTATATATGGATTTCAAAGCACCCAAATAATTAATTTTTTAATGATTAATCGACCTATAATATTATTGATTTATTATACAACTTATGATTAATTGATGTAAATTAGCATTCATGAAGTACATCAATATTTTTTGAATCTAACTGTTTATAAGTATTCAAAATTGATAAAATTATAGTACATTTTAAGAATGAATTCTTCATAACGTATCAAAATAAAAAGTTTAATTATGATAAAAGATTTTAATTATGAAAATTTATTCTTAATAAACTGATAAAAAAGTTAAAAAAATAATATGATCATTGTTGTAGTTGAATAAGTTCAATGAATTAAATTAGTTTATTATTGAAAAAAATTGATGACATGTCATATCAACTAGGAGAGAGTGATGATTTTGGAATCAATTCTCCAAATGGTCACCCAAATTAAGGGAATTGCCTTAAAATATTATTTATGTCTCATTTAGGACCAAAATATCATTCAAGTATCACTATTTTCCTCTAAATATACTTGACACTTTAAAATCATCACTCTCTCCTAGTTGGTTAGACATGTCATTAAAGTCTTTTTTTAATAATTGATCTAATAATTCATTGAACCTATTTAACTAAAAAGATTTTAATGACATGTCATGCCAACTAGGAGAGAGTGATATTTTTGAAGTGTCAAGTATATTTGAAGGAAATTGACTCGAAAATATAAGAGGTAAAATGGAATAAATTTTTTATCAACCGTCTTGAACTTTGAACAGTTCATTTATTTTAAACTATGAAAAAAAAAGTCAATAATTCACTTATTTTAAAATGAAAGGAGTATTTTATTTGCCTTACGCTATGTGGCGTTGGTGAACTTATAAAAGTCAATTAAAAACTTTATGTGATTTTTAAATATTTTAAATTATTAATTATTGTAACTCATAGTACTTTTAATATAATTTATGAATAATATATGTTACTCCCTTTGTTCTAATTATGTGCCACATATAAAATTTTGAGAGTCAATAATTTTTTAATATATATTTTTAAATTTTATTATTATTATTATTGTTATTATTATTTATAGTACTATTTTTCATAATTTTTAAATACATAGCTAATAAAATGTCACGACCCAAATCGGGTCGCGACTGGGACCCACACTTACCCTCCTATGTGAGCGAACCAACCAATCTAAACCTTAACATTTCAATATAATATCAACAGAAAGTAATGCGGAAGACTTAAACTCATTAATAAAATCAATAACTATTTTAATCCCCAAAATCTAAAAGTCATCACCACAAGAACATCTA